TAGCCAGATGAGGCAGTTGGGGATCCAGACCACACTGAATGTATCATGATTATAACATTTGCCCCGAATTGTGTGTTAGAGATAATTTGACACGACCCTTGTTGCTGTCAGACTGGATGATCCTCCTGTCAGCTTTTTCCAGGGCCCTGCTGTCACTCAATTTGAAGTGATGACAGTTGTAGCTCTTGAAAATATTTCCTGTTTTTATTTCAGGATGTCCCATGCATTGTTTTCAGGCTTATATGAAGGTGTTAATGATCCATCCTGAATACTTTTTATAGCTAGAACAGAATCTGTTTTTAAACTAGCATAAGGTTTGAAAGACAATTGTCAGCCATGTTTGCGATTCTTGTCCTCTTGTGAAGGTGGTGAGGTGAGGTGAAATTGGGTTTAACGTCGCGTCCAAGATTATTGCACTTATATAGCGAAATGCATGTGTGTGTGTGTGTGTGTGTGTGTGTGTGTGTGTGTGTGTGTGTGTGTGTGTGTGTGTGTGTGTGTGTGTGTGTGTGTGTGTGTGTGTGTGTGTGTGTGTGTGTGTGTGTGTGTGGCTGATTGTACTCAGTCCGGACTGATCCCTATTTATAGTGCTAGCTCACTGAGATACCATGCCGCAGTTTAACATAAATACCCAACTCAGACACAGTATACTGACTCCGAGCCGACCAGTCCTTGTTTTAGCCCCTTAATGCCGAGCGCCAGACAGGATAACAACAAGTACCATCTTTTAACGTCTTTTGGTATGACGCGTCCGGGGATCAAACCCCTGACCTTCCGCTCTCTGTGCGGATGCCCTACCACTAGACCATGGAAGCGGTCGTCTCTTGTGAAGGAAGTTTCACAGTAAATAATGGATAGTGGACCTCCACAAACATCTTTTGATATCAAATAGCACATTTGTAACTCAAATCAACAATTTCCCATTCAATCTGGCGTACAACTGTAATGAGGAATGTAAATAATCATTTCAACAGAATTTGCTTAAAAGTTCAAAATTTCTAGTCAGAATTTTAATTTTTAATTTTTTAAACTTTAATTTGAAAAAATAAATAAAATGTTTTCAGAAGCCAAAGGCATGCAAGGGTCCAATTAAGCTCCATGAAATAAAGATTTTAGTGAAGTGTTTCTGAAAAATCACAATATAAAGACTGACAGTTTACCTTTGAGTGTCAAATAGACAACAACGTTTACCTGAGGAAGAGCATTTACGGATGTCAACTTCTTTATTATGTGGAATACAACATTTTCATGGTTTTGGAGTATATACTTTACTCCTTCATCACATGATGGAGTAAGTATAATCCGAAACATTGTGTTCTTCATTATTTAGAAGTTGACATCCAAAGACTTGATACTACTTTTTCCTGTTTTAAGATACTGAATATTTTGATACATTATATATGTTTAACAAAGATTATATCCCATTATCAACTATTATTTCGAAATCTGTTGCCGCGGAGCTAAACTGTTTATTTCGTTAGATGTTATGAAGCCATGACGAGCAGGAACTGCATGTATAACTGGACCTTGGCTCTTCAAACCGGCTCCTCCGTTCAACGACACCGTTCACACCAGAGTTTAGTGTGTACGGACACCTGTGTCGTGTAAAAATGTGTCGCCCTGGTGTTAGTGTGTGTAGTCACATGATGTTGTCTCATGTCCTGGGCCGTCTCGCCTCCGTATCGCCCCCGTCATCATCAGCATCCACCACAGCACCATCACCTACGCTGTTGTCAAATGTTTGTTGTCTTCTTTGGCTGTGAGCAAATACACACAGTCTGCCTGTTTTGTTACCAGTGTTGACAAGACAATTTATACCACCTTGAGTGCTAACCCTACAGGTATTTCTGTCAGTTCATACATTTGTGCCATTGATTTTTTAATTCTCTCAATATGAGATGCATTAGATGTTTTTACAGACAGTTTACTCCTAGTTTTATTGCTGATAAACCCTTACTAATTTATCAATTCTCACTAATTTCTTTTATTGCAATGTTTCAAGGTTGAATTCACTTGAAATTGTAACATTTTGACCATTTTCTATTATGAAGAGATAATGAGACCATTATTACTGCAGTATCACATGGTATCAAGCAAGTACCGTATTTGATGTAATAAGCGCCCACAGTGATATTTGCTAATATATTGGCTAGTGAACAATCCCAATTAGCACCTCTTCCGATTGATCAATGTACACAAGACTTTTTATTCGTGTATAATACACACTCATGTCTTATAAACACCCTTTATTATGGGCAATTAAAGTCTGGAAAAATATTTCTGTCGTGAAATATACGCGCAGACTTTTCTTTTGTATCATTTCAGGTACATAAACCTAGAAATTTACGATCGTTCAACTCTGTTTTTTTTTCACCCAAATTATATCCTTATAAGAGCCCCTATTTCTAATTTTGAGAGCTCCCTTGGCGCCTATTACGTCGAATACAGTATTGAAATATGATCCAACAGTGTACCCATGGCAACACAATACTGAACATCCTTTACGGCATGGCATGATAATCAACACATTTATTCGGTAGTGAGTAGGAAAATCCCATACATTAAAAATCAAATAGATGCTATTACTAGTGGTAATTTCTCAGTATCTGCGTTTGTATAGATAAAAGGAAATATTAAAGTGAATCAGAAATCGCTGCCAAACTACCCAACCAGACAATGGTGAGGTAATAAACAGTCCAGGCTTTTATCGTCATGGCTGATAGCTCATTGTAACCATTCTGCCAGTGTTATTTTGAAAGAGATGACACTGTGCATGGTTAATTAATGGATTCGAGGTTGGGGATGGATTCTTTCGTTGTTAAAATATTTATGTCATGTAAATTTTGATATACATGATATAATAAACAGTAGGTTGGTTTCCTTGAAATGGATAAAAACCCTAGGCTGTTTTGTACAAATTGGACAATCATTGTTAGGTTACCAGGTTACTGAGGATATGTATGACATGTATGGTGGTACACTCAAAGAATGCAGGTACAATGTCAACTGAAAAGTGAAAATACAAAATTCAAGTGCTAGTTTCTAAGCTAATTGCCTAAACAGAATGAAGGAACATGCATTGATGGAATATTGCAATATAATTATGTTAAATTGTTTTAAATTGATGATTCATAGTTGTCTAGCCAAAGTTTTGAGGAACCAGTATTGGTTTCTGAAAAAACCCAGTGATTTATCTGGACCTGATCATGCTGATTAGAGGTCAATATTTGGCCCCAGGTCTGCAGCAAATGTCAGTCATAATTCTCAAGTTGGAATTAGACATTTCCCTAGTCATGGGATATCATATTATTATATTTATGACTACTGTTATGGCTTCTTAAGGTGACTTGTATTTCACTGACAAAAGGACCAATATAGGGGAAGAGGCTACAATGCTAATAGTTGAACATTATTGCATTGGATTCAATGTTAAAATTAAATGTTAAATTACCTTTCAATATAGGAAAAAAAGACCTTTATTTGTTTTCCAGTTTTGAATGTATAAGAAGTTTTCCCATTTTGCCTGCCAAGGGCACTTAGTTAATCCTAGATAAGTCCCTGAAAAATGTATTTATTCTCACTCACTCGATCATCCACTCTCTCTCTCAGTCAGTTTATGTGATACTGTAATGAGTGAGTGACTGAGTATTGTTTTATGCAGCTTTTAGCAATATTCCAGCAAAATCATGATGGGGGACACCAGAATTGGGCTTCACACTATACTGCAAGTGCTGTTAGGATGATCATGAAGATGAAATTTCAATACTAACATATCAATTGTTCAATGTGACTTGTTATGAATGAAGCAATGAGCATGGTTATTGTACTAACAAACCTTGGATAGTATTCATAATGTAGCAATTCTAGGTTTCGAACCCACAAGTAGCAGATCCTGGCACATGTAAGGGAAGTAAGTCTGTACCTTGATTTCAAGTGCCTTAGACCACATGGCCAACTGTATCTTGTAATCATGGCGATCAGTTTCTTATAGCTGAAAGTCAAGCATACAGAATGGACCCAAATCATTGTCTCATTAATTTTGTACGCAGCAAGGAAATGGTTTGGTATTTCAATCTCACCACAAATATTAAGTTGATACTTTAGCTTAGTAGCTTCCTTAACTGGGTGTTGACATACCTAAATCCTTCACAGTAGTGACTCGATGATGTCAACTGACCGACTTTAAAGGTGCAATGTCCAAAACATCAAACTAACATTTTCAGGATTACCGTTATTTCATTCCATGTTGTCACTGGCTCCTTGGGCAGTACACTGTAATTTTGAATATGCAGAGAGAACATTGGGCTGAACTTTAAAGTCAGTGTTAAATTAAATCCAACTTTTTTTTCATATTGGGTGTCTCAATGAAAATAAGATCTTTTGGCAAATATTCACATATGTTAATGAACATACACACACAGAAATACAGTGCATACCAACAGTGTATGATATGTTTGAATAATGTTAGTGATCACACAACACAAGCTTGACACACACAACACAACCTTGTTTCAAAATATGATCTTGATTCACACAACTCAATTTTGACTCACAAAGCTCAATCTTGACTCACACAACACAACCTTGACACACACAACACAACCTTGTTTCAAAATATACCCTTGACTCAAACTGCTCAATTTTGACTCACAACAATACCTTCACTTGCACAATTCAACCTTGACTCACACAACACAACATTGACTAAATTCAAGATTGAGTCACACAACACAACCTTGACTAACACATTACGACCTTGACTCGCACAACACAACCTTGACTCGCACAACACAACCTTGACTCACACAACACAACCTTGACTCACACAACACAACCTTGTTTCAAAATATACCCTTGACTCAAACTGCTCAATCTTGACTCACACAACACAACCTTGACTCACACAACACAACCTTGTTTCAAAATATACCCTTGACTCAAACTGCTCAATCTTGATTCACACAACACAGCCTTGACTCACACACGTCACTCTGTTCCAGGTGAAGCTAGCCTCCTGTAGGAGAAATGGGAAACTGTTTATCCAGAAAGGAGGACCTGGGCAAGTTGCCGCCCTCCATCAACCAACTGAATGGCGGTCCTGTTGACCACAACAGTCCGCCAACCAGCCCTAATGATGTCAGCGTGGGCTTCAAGCGGGACCTGCCGCCACTGCCGCCATCAAAACGTGAGAAATAAATGATGCTAACAATATTATTAATGTGAAAATTAACTTGATTACAATACCATACTGAATTAGCCAAAATAAGTGCATCAGGCGCTTTGAAAATTGACAACCAGACCCTTATTAAAACCGTACACACCAAGTTACATTATGTTTCAGAAATTGGCTTGGAGCCACTTTTGTATAAGACAAAGGAATTCTCACTGTAAAGTTATAGAACCAATAATTTTTTCCAAGAATCTTAATCCTCAGAAACCATAAAAGCCACTTGGAAAGTATTTATGAAAAATGTTTTGCTTGGGAACTATGAAACTTGTTTACAGAATGTATGTGTAACCAAGCTGTTCTTTGTTTTATCCTGTCCACAGAGGTCATCAAATTCCTGGCTATGTATGATTTCGAGGGTATTAATGAAGATGACCTGTCCTTCAGGAAGGGAGATCGTCTGGAGATTGATGAAGCCAGGTGGGTGATCAGGATATGTACCCTAGACTTGCCCAAGTTCTCTACCTTTCTATGTTACCTATTTAGGGCTGGGACTAGTCCTAATTTGCTACCCAGGTCCCCAAACCCCTATTACCTGACCCTTTTGGATTCAAAATGGCTGCTTGGGAAATGTTTTCCCGGAGCCTTTGCAAAAAGTACTCAGATACACGTATAAAATGATCTGGTCATGCATACACTGAAGTTGCCTGAAGCTTGTCTTAATTTAAGACCGGGTAGTCCTGTGGGTATCCGGGTCCTACTCACTAGTTAGTGGTATTTGGGCTTGTCGGGGATCACATATCAGTTGGCTATATCTGTTAGTTTCCCTGTAGAGAGTTCGTTATGTACGTAAATTTTATATAATAATATATAGGAGATAAATCAGGGCTTTTTAAACAGTTCGTCATATCCGTGTTCTACTGGAAGTCCAGCCAAGCGTGAATGAAACAATACATTCCATTGAAAGCTGAAAAGAATTCTTTCAAAAATATTCTTGAGAGTAATTTGATATGATCTGTTTTGCTTTGGCCAAGGCCAAGTTTACATTTACCAATGAGAAAAGAATAAAAATCCTTCACTCCCTCACTTCTCATTCCCTCCCTCACTCACACTCAATAGTCGATGTGGAGATAGATCGAAAGGAGGTATATGTATGCGTATCATGTGTGTGTTATCAGCAAATTTGAACCCCGAGGTATTTGTGTTCCAGTCAGAACAGTGACTGGTGGATAGCGACCAATGTGAAGACGGGGCACCAGGGCTACATCCCCAGCAACTACGTGTGCAAGGACGATGACTCCCCACAAGCACAAGAGTAAGTCGACCACATTCATTCCTCCACTCACTGCAGTGTGGCAACATACTGAGGCCTTTAGCTTTGAGGTCTGTCTTGAAACGTCTTTGAATAAAGATTTTTCCTTGAAAAGGCCTTAAAAATGATTAACAATTCTTGAAAAATAAGTACCGTACTCTTCATACTTAAATCTAAAAACTTGGACGAAAATGATTTGTATATCAGCTATTTATAGTTAAGGCTAAAAATATTAATAGTCTTGGTTCTCAGGCAATTCTGTATGGATTGTCGTGCTACTAACGACTGACAATATTTATAGTTAGACAGGTTATTCCATCTTAACCATAGGCGGATCCAGAGGGGGGAGGAGCCAGGGGGTCTGGACCACCCTCTTTTGAAAACCAAATGTAGCTTGTTGTATGAACACACAATGCCTTTTAGGAAGTGGTCAATTGTAACAAATGTTTTATTTGGGATAACACTTACTGAGTAAAGTACAGATTCTCATACTTTTTGGGGTTGAGTCCTGTGCAGGATTCGAACCCACACTGCCAGAGTAAGGCACCTAATCGCCAGAAAACCGAATCAGCGATCTAACCCACTCAGCCACCGAGGCTTCCACAAAAATGAAAGTCTGACAACTGGTAGTCTAGATAATGTACTTTGTGTACCCCTCTGACAAGTGTAAATTGGCACGGCTGCCATGGCCGAAAGCTATGAACACACAATGCCTTTCAGAGAGTGGTGAAATGTAACAAATTTTATATCTGGGATAACACTTTCTGAGTACTTTCTGAGTACTTTTGTAGGCAGTAAAATTGACTGAGAGTATTTTGAAATATTGGACCCCTCCCTTTTAAAAATGCTGGAAGACTGTGATACAATAACATCCAGCAATGCAAGATAAACAGTAGAAATATGAAAGAATTGGGTGTTCTCTTACACCTGTTGAATGGCATATTTCAATAATTCTCTCCCTGCTTTTACAGTTGGTGGTTTAATTTTGACCGCAAAGACTCCGACAAGATGCTGCTTCTCCCTGGTAACAAGGTTGGCACATTCCTGGTCAGAGAGTCCACAGGTGAGGTTCACATTGAACTAGTTAACCATGAGGGACCTTTACAGTGGTTCAAATACCATTGCCTGATGCCCGTGTCCAGTAGTCTTTACAAGCTGGGCAAGCCGATTCTTTACTGGTGTTGAACCATGGTTCTATTGTCAGAGCTTTGGAGTCATGGAATTTTACAAAGCATTAAATAAAGAAAAGGGATGTATTGGTTGATTCAGATTGTCGGCTTAGTTTTTTAGAAATGTGTATCAGCATTGCTCCTGTTGTCATTGTTTCATCTATGCAGACATTTGTGTTGATGGGACGGTAAGACAGACACCTAGTCAAGTTCAGTTCATGTTGCAAGTGTAACAACCTCTTGACCTACCACCATGACCAGTACATATCTTTCGTTTGTTTGTTTATTTGTTGTTTAAGGCGGCTGGGTAGCCTAGTGGTTAAAGTGTTCGTTCGTCACGCTGAAGACCCGGGTTTGATTCCCCGTATGGGCACAATGTGTGAAGCCAATTGCTGGTGTCCCCTGGCATGATATTGCTGAAATATTGCTGAAATATTGCTAAGCAGTGTGAAGCCATACTCACTCACTCTTGTGACCTTCAGGTGCTTAAAGTGAAGTAGGGGCAGTGGGGTAGCCTGCTGGTTAAAGGGTCCTCTGGGCAGGCTGAAGACCAAGGTTTGATTCCCCACATGGGCACAATGTGTGAAGCCTATTGCTGGTGTCCCCTGCCGTGATATTGCTGGAATATTGCTGAAAGCGGCGTAAAATCATATTCACTCACTCACTCATTAAGGTGAAGTACAGAGTAGCATCCCTTTGCCATGTCAGGATCTGTTGCTTGCTCTAATTACAATCCTGTGCTCCTTTGGGAGACATAACAGACATCAATCTGATACAACAGACATTAATTCGGACACAACAGACATTAATCAGACACAACAGACATTAATCAGACATAACAGACATTAAGTGGACATAACAGACATCAGTCGGACACAACAGACATTAATTGGACATAACAGACATTAATCAGACATAACAGACATTAATTGGACATAACAGACATTAATCTGACACAACAGGCATTAATCGGACATAACAGACATTAATCTGACACAACAAACATGAATCGGACATAACGGACTTAACAGACATTAATCTGATACAACAGACATTAATCAGACACAACAGACATTAATCGGACACAACAGACATTAATCTGACATAACAGACATTAATCTGACATAACAGACATTAATCTGACATAACAGACATTAATCTGACATAACAGTCATAAATCTGACACAACAAACATGAATCGGACATAACGGACTTAACAGACATTAATCTGATACAACAGACATTAATCGGACATAACAGAGATTAATCTGACACAACAGACATTAATCAGACACAACAGACATTATTGGACACAACAGACATTAATCGGACATAACAGACATTAATCTGACATAACAGACATTAATTGGACACAACAGACATTAATCGGACACAACAGACATTAATCGGACATAACAGACATTAATCGGACACAACAGACATTAATCGGACATAACAGACATTTATTTGGACTTAACAGACATTAATCGGACACAACAGACATTAATCAGACACAACAGACATTCATCGGACACAACAGAAATTAATCAGACACAACAGAAATTAATCGGACACAACAGACATGAATCTGACACAACAGACATTAATCGGACACAACAGACATGAATCGGAAACAACAGACATTAATCTGACATAACAGACATTAATCGGACACAACAGACATTAATCGGACATAACAGACATTAATTTGGACTTAACAGACATCAATCGGACACAACAGACATTAATCAGACACAACAGACATTAATTTGGACTTAACAGACATTAATCGGACACAACAGACATTAATCAGACACAACAGAAATTAATTGGACACAACAGACATTAATCAGACACAACAGACATGAATCGGACACAACAGACATTAATCGGACATAACAGACATGAATCGGACACAACAGACATTAATCGGACACAACAGACATTAATCAGACACAACAGAAAGTAATCGGACACAACAGACATGAATCTGACACAACAGACATTAATCGGACGCAACAGACATTAATCTGACATAACAGACATTAATCTGACATAACAGACATTAATCAGACTTAACAGACATTAATGGGACACAACAGACATTAATTTGGACTTTACAGACATTAATCGGACACAACAGACATTAATCGGACATAACAGACATTAATTTGGACTTAACAGACATTAATCGGACACAACAGACATTAATCAGACACAACAGACATTAATTTGGACTTAACAGACATTAAGTGGACACAACAGACATTAATCAGACACAACAGACATTAATCGGACACAACAGACAATAATCAGACACAACAGAAATTAATTGGACACAACAGACATTAATCGGACACAACAGACATGAATCGGACACAACAGACATTAATCGGACATAACAGACATGAATCGGACACAACAGACATTAATCGGACATAACAGACATTAATCGGACACAACAGACATTAATCAGACACAACAGACATTAATCAGACATAACAGACATTAAGTGGACATAACAGACATCAATCGGACACAACAGACATCAATTGGACATAACAGACATTAATCAGACATAACAGACATTAATTGGACATAACAGACATTAATCGGACACAACAGACATCAATCGGACACAACAGACATTCATTGGACAAAACAGACATTAATCAGACTTAACAGACATTAATTGGACATAACAGACATTAATCAGACACAACAGACATTAATTGGACACAACAGACATTAATCAGACATAACAAAACTCTGTGCAGTAGTGATTATTATTCAGCTGAATGATGTTTGTTTCCTTGAACACGAACATGAGGCTTCGCTGACATTGATGGCATGTGATGTTAATGCAGGAATATTTTGATGAATCATGAATCATCATCAGAGCCCTAGGTTTTGTCTTTGTTTAGACATGTATTGTGCATGTATTGTGCATGTATTGTGCATGTATTGTTCAGCAAAATAATATTTCATGAAGACAGTCATGCATGAGTGTCAAGAAGCCTGGTATCAGTGATACAAGGTTCGGTTGCACTTCTCATTTCCTTATGAAGAAAAAATTACAAAAGGTTGTATTTCATAACAATAAAATTGGCTTTTCTGAATAATTGAAAGCCTTTCTTCCTAAAGAAATTATTTCTTATCAAATGCCTTCAGTGTTTTAGAAACATGAGAAAGAAATTTCTTTTATGATTTCTACTTTTTTAGTTAATTGTTTTCCCATCATTGATTGGGAAAAAACTACAACCGGTAATATCATAATCTGTGAAAAGACAAATAGCCTGAACTTCAATCAAGTTATTTGGACTATAGTATTTATGAACTGAGTTTACTGGACCTTAACAAAACTTGACTAGACACAGGCTTCAGACGAGTGCCTAAAGTTGTGGACTGATATCAAGAAATATTGTGCAATGTCCTTGTGTCCTGCCTCTGACCTCCGATCTGTCTGAAAATGTGTCATTGTGCCCTGGGGCATGAAACATTGAACACAACCATCTTCTGGAGGAGTGTCCCAGAGCATCATCATAAGCAGAGGGCACAGGTTGTAGTTTGTGGTGCAGAGTTGTGTCCCTTTGTCATGCCAGGATCTACGGATAGAAGGTTCAAATTTCAGATTCACCCTGATCAGGATCCTTTTGTCAGCACCATACATATGAGCCCATCTTCAAAGTTACCTGGCTGCATTCAGACTTTTAACATATTGAAAAAGGGCGAAAATTAAGAGACAAAATAGCCTTTGGAATCAGTTGAAATAATGCAAACAATTGATTGAGAATCTACGAGGATGTATAATAAAATTGAATATGTAGGTAGTCTAGAATGATTTGTCAGACAGTCGGGTAGAAAAGTTACCAGCCACGGGTTGACAGGCCGGCAGTTATTTCGGACACTGAACCAAGTCACAGAGTCTGACTGCCTGATCCATTGATTCGCCTCTTAAGACCAGCATAGGTTACTGGGGACCTATTCTAACCCGGAATCCACACAGTGTGGATTAGGTTAGACATCACTTTGATACATTAGCCTGATATTTGACATATCTTGAAATTTGGAATTTAACATGTAAAAAGAGATTTGGAGCATGGCCATTTCTTTGTCTACCTTCATGACATGGCTACCACACTGCTGAAGGGAAGTAGCCCCTTCTATTTCTAGCTCTCCACCAGTTTTGTGCGGTCTATAGTCCCTGTCTGTTCAATGAATACTCTCCCTCTGTTCCAGACAAATCCTCCCACGTGCTGTCTGTGCGAGACCATGACAAGGCCCACGAACCCTGTGTCAAACATTACCGAATACGTAAGCTGGACAATGGCGGCTTCTACATCAGTCCGAAGAGGACCTTCACCAACATGATCGATCTGATAGATCACTACAGAAGTAAGTAGCTACAGACATTTAGACCTGGCCACCATTCCACAACCTGATGTTCGTGCTTCCACTGTGTGGTATACCAGTAACACCATGCACTGGCCGACCCCTTGGCACAACACATTATATTGTAGCCTATGGACCCATATGGATATGCTTGTATGCATGTCATGAAATAACAACTGTCAGTTCTAAGCAATACCCGTGAAGATTCCGGGGTAGAAAAGGTCTTCAGCAACCCATGCTTGCCGTAAAAGGTGACTATGCTTGTCGTAATAGGCGACGAACGGGTGAGGCTAGCTGACTTGGTTGATGCATGTCATCGATCCCAATTGCGTGGATCGATGCTCATGATATTAATCGCTGGACTGTCTGGTCCAGACTCAATTATTTACAGACCGCCGTTATATAGCTGGAATATTGCTGAGTGCGGCGTTAAACAACAAACCAAGCAACCAACAGTTCTAAGCAAGTCTACCTTTAGCCATTTGAGACAATTCTTTTGTTAAAGTTAACTTTGTTCCTGTGTGCTCAGTACATTGGTAGTTTGTTAATAAATTGCTTCCAGAAAGCACAGATGGGCTGTGCACAGTGCTAACAGAAGCATGTCCAAGGATTCGACCGATTGTACACTTCCGGGAGCTGGAAGTAGCCCGAGATTCATTAAAGATGGCGGCCAAGCTTGGAGCCGGGTGTTTCGGAGAAGTATGGAAGGGTAGGTACAACAGGGTTAGAATTTAGTTTGTATTTTCGCTTGACCCCCAAAATGCTCATATTATGTCACTGTGTCAACACTTCTTAGTACCTGCCCCGAGTTCATCCTAGACTTGACAAAAAGTGGGGCCATGGCCGACTTAACCTTCAAAATGGCTGCCATTCAGAAATCTGATGATAATATACATGATACATTCAAACACCAATCACAAGCACAAAGAACTGTACTTATTTGAATCAAGAAGAAGAAATTAGGGCTGGGAAGGGTAACAGGACTACCCGCACCCGTGGTTAGTTACGTGATACATTGTTTAATGACAAAAACCCACTATAGCTCAATGGTTACACAACATGTCGCTAATGTTCGCATTTCTTTCTGACGATGCATGCATACATTCCTTTTGACTTTGATGTTTGAGTAAAGATAATGCTTCAGACAACTTCAGTGTAAGCATGATCTGATCGATTGATACATGTATCTAAATATTTATTGCCAGGGCTGCGGTAAAACAATTCCCAATCAGTTATTTTGTACCCAACTCTTGAGACCTAAAGTGAGTACCCGGGTAGTAAATTTGGACTCGTCCCAGGCCTAGAAGAGATGTCATACTTAATTTCAGGGTCCTCACTTGACAAGCTAGTTTGCAATCTATCTATCTATTAGTTTAGTTTAAACATATTTTATTCTCATGAAAAGGATTGGGCACAAGTTATCACTACTTAGAACGCCCTCTCCCATAGATTTACATGTTTGCTTATTTACAGTTGTTTACTTATTTACAGTTAATAAATTAAATTACAGTTAATAAATCAAATGACAGAAAGGATTATCAGTTCCACCATGAGCATCATTTGTCTTTCGTTTCTTTGAAAAGAATGAAAAAATCCTGGCAATCTGTTTGACTGAGTGAGTGAGTTGGGTTTAACACCGCTTTAAACAGTTTTCCAGTTTTATCACGGTGTGTAAGCTTAATGTGGGAGGAAAGCCCGAAGTGATACAGGTCTCAGACGTTTACCACTTCGGTGAAACCCACGAGCACGGGTATGGTGCTGACAAACCTAGAAACATAATCGGGCGAACCGGGATTCGAACCCACAATCATAGGTTACTGGCGTGCCCAAGGGAAGCAACACTGCACAGCGAATCGCGGCACCTTAGACGACTGGCCCACCTGTGCCCCCCTGTTTGACTGAAGGCAGCTTGGCCATGCCTTGTTATGATTGCCTTCTACTGGCAATATGGACCAATCACCTAGCTCAATTTCGATGTTTTGATACAGTTACTTGACAGCATTTCATGTGAATTGCATTGTGTATAATTAATGCTTATGATTTGGAGTTAGGTTACAATTAAAACTTACTCATATTGGTTTGGTATCAGGATAATTTATTAGATTGGAATTAATTCAGACACTTGAAAATTGAAAGCACCAGTGGCACAATAGCATGGTCTAGAATTAACATCTTGTCAACCATTATTTGGCACCAAACACAGAATCATGCAACAAAAGTTGGTTATTATTGAATAATAATCATTGACCTAACCAAAAATAATTGTGAAAAAACGGCTGACAAATTGATGGTTGACGGACTATAACATGTCGAAGACTGCAATTTGAAGTTCAGAGTTGATTTTCTCAGCCATGCCAGGACCTACAGCCTTGGGTACAAATCCTGTTTCTTCCCCTGATATATTCCTTGGTCTGCCAGCACCATACCACGCTCAGTTATTGTTTATTCGGGAGAAAAACATTGGGTCAGGCGAATTGAAATGGGCATGAAATATAACAGGAAATCTGAGGAAAAGCTCTAGAAAATGTCATGCTATGGAATTCACTCATTGTGTGGACATGGTGTAGTAGCTCAGTGGGTAATGTGTTTGCTCATCTTGCATGAGACCTGGGTTTGATTCCCAAAATAATTGAACAATTGTTATTAAAGAAAGTCACACACAGGACCATAACAGGATCACATTGTAGCAGGGTCACGAGGGGTACATGGGGTTTTACGCGCCCCACGTTAGGTTTTATACCACAAGCAAGAGGCGAATTTATCTTTCCGACATGTTTTAAGGTGACATTGTAAAAGAATTAACACAAATTCAAAACTGATAGAAAACAGCTGTTCGATTGAGCTGAGATCATGTGACTTCCATTGAGTCGAAAAAAAAGCATGTTTTTTTTTCCCCGTTGAAGCGGGGTATAGGTAGTTATTCTGCCTCTGAGAAATCCACATGCAGACTGTATTGCTTGTGGCGGGGTATAAGATATTTATATCCCTCCAAGGCAGGTTACACAGTATTTTATCAAGATCATGTGGACTAATCAGATCTCATCGTTCTGACATGGATTATGATAAACATATTTGTTTCAGGTAAGCTCCGGAATGTGATAGACGTTGCCGTGAAGACCCTCAAACCTGGCACCATGTCCCCAGAAGCCTTCCTGGCCGAGGCGAAGATCATGCACAAGCTGCGTCACAGCAAGCTGGTCCAGCTGATAGCTGTCTGCTCCGAGGAGGAACCCATCCTCATCATGACGGAGCTGATGGTTAATGGCGCCCTGCTGGACTACATCAGGAAGGACGAGGGCAGACTGATCCGCTTCCCCACCGTGATCGACATGGGCTCCCAGGTGGGTAGAATGGCATCGTATGACGCTAACCAGCGACAGACACGACCACTGTTCTGTTAATCTGAGACTTGTGACAATCTAGTTGTCTATTCCCAAATCTAGTTATTTTACATGACCACGTATGAAATAGGTGGCAGACGAGTTGAATATGACCAGTGGTGTCTACCCTTGCAGTGCCGATCTGTTTTTGAGTAATTGGTTCTCGGATTCAGGCAACCATTAAGTATTGGAGAAAACACGCTCACAAGGTTTTGGTAGACAGAGCATGGCCTGGGGAGAGGGAAAAACCAAGGGGGCGAAGCCCCCGCGGTTTTTCACGACACCCAGGGCATGCTCTGTCTACCGAAACCAAGGGAAAGTGTTTTTCCATGCTTATAAACCGAAAAAAGAAACTTAAAACAACATTTATCACCATTTTTATGTTTCGAACATACTTTCAAGAACCTTAGTAAAATATCTGTTGCTGGCGTACGGATCTTGAAAAGGACATTCTAAAAAGCAGTGCGGCTTATCAACACCTCTGTAGCCTCGTGGTACATTCACTGGGCTACAGATATGAAGGTTACGAGTTCGATCCTCGGGAATATAAAGAAAACATTTGTCATTTGAATTTACATTTCACTACATGTTACAATCTGAACGGAAGTTATATTAATAAAATACCCAGGAGATTATATAAAATCCCAGGGATATTACAACGTCCCTATTTATGAGATTTAACCCGACTGGAAAGTAAAACCTCACAATAGGTTTTAATGCCTATAGAAAGAAGTCTCTTACTTAATAGCGATCCCAATGAATAGGTTTATGAGAAAGGATTCTACTGTCTTTTGTTGTGCAAAAGGCTCTCCACTATGTGCCTTGTCATGCATTGCTCCCCTGCAGTGGATTACAACTCTTACTCACAATAATGTGTTCAGTCCAGTAGGTCGTCATCAGGTCACATGGACCTGTGAAGATCTGGGTTAAAATAGGTCTTTACCAACCCATGCTTGCCATCAGAGGCAACTAACGTGATCGGGTGGACGGGCCCACTGACTTGGTTGATGCATGTCATCGTATCCCAAGTGAATGGATCAATGCTCATGATGACAACCTCTGGTCCAGACTTGATTATTTACAAACCGCCGTCATTTAGCTGGAATATTGCTGAGTGTGGCCTTAAACAACATACAAACAAACAAACAAGAACCAGATCGCAAGAGGGATGTCAGTATACCATCCCTGCACCGGTCATACTGCAAAGCACTGCATAGCGTGCATTACAGTAGCAGATACTGTACCCCTCTATCTTGCTGAAGGGGGCACGGGTGGCCCAGTTGCGTCCCTTGGGCACGCCAGAAACTTATGATTGTGGGTTTGAATCCCGGTTCGCCCCGATTATGTTTCTAGGTTTGTCAGCACCATGCCCGTGCTCGTGGGTTTCACCGAAGTGGTAAACATCTGAGACCTGCATCACTTGAGGCTTTCCTCCCACATGAAGCTGACAAGCCGTGATATAACTGGAATACTGTTAAAAGCGGCGTTAAACCCAACTCACTCACTATCTCGCTGAAATGTGACAAGGTCGTGCAAAGATTTGTGAAGCCATTGTGTGACAACAGATCACCAACTGTCTGTTTAACAATGTTTTAATAATACTGTCAGACAGTGTGTGTCACATTCCCAGTGCAAGTGTTGCTTCTCTGAGTCATGTCAGAAACCTATGAACACCTTGGAATCCTTCTAGAAACCTCTACGACATGCTTCGCTTCGGTCTTTCCTTCCACATCAAGCCAATCTGATTAAGATCAGACCTCAATTTCACTACTGCTAAACAAAGATCTTAGGACATCCCATTAGGGGTCACGTCAGAACGACCTTTCATCCGACCAATCAGCATCGCTTACCAGATTATGAAAGTGACAGTCGGATGTGATTTCTAATCATACAACCTCGAAAACTTTAACTTCAAACAATAGTTACGGGTTTAACCACTGAATCCATACAATCTAGACCATCTATTAACCATTCCAGAATGTTCTTCTGTTCAGGTTTCAAATTTGTAATCGAGAATTTGTCAAATTATGTTTCTAGGTGTAGTCGCCAATTTGAAATTAGTGCCGTAAAGCAAGAGAAAGCTGCCTTCTGATTGGTCATTCTATTGGTGGTTTAAATTTGTTCAAATTGGTCTGACGTGATTGTAATAGGATGTCCTCAGATCTTTGTTTAGCGGTAGCGAGAACTAAGATGTGAATTTAATGAGATTGACATCAAGCTGACACGCCATGATATAACTGAAATACTGTTCACTGCTGTGTCATACCAAATGTGTCACTCACCTAATAATGATCAAGATTTATCTGTAGTGCTAGTTAGATCGTAACCATGGTTGTGCCTTTGGTTTGTTTGATCAGATTGCTGAGGGCATGGCATTCTTGGAGGCTGAGAACTTCGTGCACCGAGATCTCCGTGCTGCCAACATCCTTGTCGGTGAACACCATGATGTCAAGGTTGCCGACTTTGGTCTGGCGAGAATTCTCCAAGATGAGGATATTTATGAGGCTACAGAGAGTAAGTACTCGCATTGGTGGAGGACACATACATACCATTTCATATTGCAGCTGTAAGGATGCTATTGACGCAGTGTTTGGGTCAACTTTATTTGGAATTTTCACACCAGCCATACATAACTACTCGGCTACCTTACACATTCTTAGTTTATTATCCTAAGGGTTATGTCAGAAGGCTTATGACTTGGCACCAGGTGAATGTTAATGGTATGGAATATACAGGCTTATATAATAGCCAGTACATACTTTTCTCAGTGCATACGTTCAGGTATACTGTGTTGTTTTTGATGCAGTAGTGAATTAAGAAACATGGTATCAATTACCATTGTGTGTCAACTGTTTATGCTGTTTTCAGGAAACACCAATACATAATCAAATGGATATTTGATATTTTATGTAATAAAGTAAAAATTGATCAGTACTAGTATGTGAACCAACACTGATCTACAATATCATTTACAAAACTGAGCTTGTTATTGCTGTACCTCCAAGATTAGCATCTGTTATTATGGCCTTCAGCTGAGGTTAATCCTGTTTGCAGGACCTTCAGCAAAAGTTAATCCTGTCTGCATGACCTTCAGAGAGGTTAATCCTGTCTGCATGACCTTCAGAGAGGTTAATCCTGTCTGCATGGCCTTCAAAGAGGTTAATCCTGTCTGTATGGCCTTCAGTGAGGTTAATCCTGTCTGCATGGCCTCTAGCCGAGTTTAATCCTGTCTGCATGGCCTTCAGTCGAGTTTAATCCTGTCTGCATGACCTTCAGAGAGGTTAATCCTGTCTGTATGGCCTTCAGAGAGGTTAATCCTGGCTGCATGGCCTTCAGCCGAGGTTAATCCTGTCTGCATGACGTTCAGAGAGGTTAATCCTGTCTGCATGACCTTCAGAGAGGTTAATCCTGTCTGCATGGCCTTCAGCCGAGGTTAATCCCTTCTGCATGGCCTTCAGAGAAGTTAATCCTGTCTGCATGGCCTTCAGCCGAGGTTAATCCTGTCTACATGGCCTTCAGAGAGGTTAATCCTGTCTGCATGGCCTTCAGCCAAGGTTAATCCTGTCTGCATGGCCTTCAGCCGAGGTTAATCCTGTCTGCATGGCCTTCAGAGAAGTTAATCCTGTCTGCATGGCCTTCAGCCGAGGTTAATCCTGTCTACATGGCCTTCAGAGAGGTTAATCCTGTCTGCATGGCCTTCAGCCAAGGTTAATCCTGTCTGCATGGCCTTCAGCCGAGGTTAATCCTGTCTGCATGGCCTTCAGCCGAGGTTAATCCTATCTGCATGGCCTTCAGAGAGGTTAATCCTGTCTGCATGGCCTTCAGCCGAGGGTAATACTGTCTGCATGGCCTTCAGAAAGGTTAATCCTGTCTGCATGGCCTTCAGCCGAGGTTAATCCTGTCTGCATGGCCTTCAGCCGAGGTTAATCCTGTCTGCATGGCCTTCAGAGAGGTTAATCCTGTCTGCATGGCCTTCAGCCGAAGTTGATGTGATAAATATGTGTATACATTAGTTCCCTGGTTCGTGAAACACAACTCCCACTTTCTTTTATGAATGTCATAAGTAGAATGACAGATTTATATGGGCCCTCAAGTTCCAATTTGAGATACCTTGTACTGTCTCTGGTCCCTGTTGGCTATTTAAACAAAGGATACTTAAGAACTGTTATTAGATACCAGCATCTGTTGTTCCTCATGTCAAGCAAATATGTTATGCATATTTAGAAATTTTCTCAAAATGTTTCATTGAGTATGTAACCTCAAGTTGTTGTGACTTTAAGAGAAACTGTTTTGACTCTTTCCTCATGCGTTTCCTCAAGAGTAAAAATGACATACAGAGCGTTGCAATATTTTCCAGCCATTGAAGATGTGTAATTTGATGATGTATTTTCCAGATACAAAATTCCCCATCAAGTGGACAGCACCAGAAGCTGCTCTTGAAAGGAAATTTTCCGTCAAGTCAGACGTGTGGTCATTTGGTGTCCTCCTGTACGAGCTGGTCACCTTCGGGAGAGTTCCCTACCCTGGTGAGTGTTGCCTATCCTGGTGAGTGGTCCCAACCCTGGTGAGTGTTGTCTACCCCGGTGAGTGTTGCCTACCCTGGTGAGTGTTCCCTACCCTGGTGAGTGTTCCCTACCCTGGTGAGTGTTCCCTGCCCTTGTGAGTGTTGTCTACCCCGGTTAGTGTTGTCTACCCCGGTGAGTGTTCCCTGCCCTGGTGAGTGTTCCCTACCCTGGTGAGTGGTCCCTACCCTGGTGAATGGTCCCTACCCAGTGAGTGTTCCCTGCCTTGGTGATTGTTCCCTGCCCTGGTGAGTGTTCCCTACCCTGGTGAGTGGTCCCTACCCTGGTGAGTGGTCCCTACCCTGGTGAGTGTTCCCTACCCTGGTGAGTGTTCCCTGCCCTTGTGAGTGTTGTCTAACCCGGTTAGTGTTGTCTACCCCGGTGAGTGTTCCCTAACCTGGTGAGTGTTGTCTACCCTGGTGAGTGTTCCCTGCCCTGGTGAGTGTTTCCTACCATGGTGAGTGGTCCCTACCCTGGTGAATGGTCCCTACCCAGTGAGTGTTCCCTGCCCTGGTGATTGTTCCCTGCCCTGGTGAGTGTTCCCTACCCTGGTGAGTGGTCCCTACCCTGGTGAGTGTTCTCTGCCCTGGTGAGTGTTCCCTACCCTGGTGAGTGGTCCCTGCCCTGGTGAGAGGTCCCTACGCTGGTGAGTGTTCCCTACCCTGGTGAGTGTTCCCTGCCCTGGTGAGTGTTCCCTACCCTGGTGAGTGGTCCCTACCCTGGTGAGTGTTCCCTACCCTGGTGAGTGTTCCCTACCCTGGTGAGTGGTCCCTGCCCTGGTGAGTGGTCCCTGCCCTGGTGAGAGGTCCCTACGCTGGTGAGTGTTCCCTACCCTGGTGAGTGGTCCCTACCCCGGTGAGTGTTTGGGAATGGTCATTCTGACATGATCTTTAATGGGACTTCCTCGAATCTTTGTGTACTGGTCATCCACCAGTTATCGCCATTTTTTTCATGTTATTTCTGACCTAATCCGTGTTCAAAGTTGACTGTACCAATAACTCTAAGTTTTGTGAAACTATGAGCAAATGTGCTTATTTCTGTCCGTGGAATAACATTCAGTTGGTTTCTGTGAAGACGATAAGATAGGGATAGAACTTTCCCTTCGCCTTACTGTTCCAGTTATCGCCATCATCTTAACAGCATGTGCAACGTGATCACACGCACCGGTTCAGTTATACAAGTAACATTTTTTAGCATCTCGGGTATCGCACTCAATTTTTTTATGCATCAAAATGAATAAGAAATGCTATTATCAATTTGTCATCTGCAAACTGACAAAAACCAATGTTCCCCAAATTCTATCTACACATGCTTAACCTTAACACTATGTATCATTGATATCGCGATATATACAGGCGAGGTATTTTTGGAACTATAGCTCAAATTGGTTTCAGAATTATATGTTTTACCTTACCTGAGGCTACACCTATAGCACTGTGTAGTGTCAGGTAAGTATAAAAACATTGCATTTAATCAGAAATGCTCATGTTTTACCTTACCTGATGCTACACAGTGCTATAGGTGTAGCGTCAGGTAAGTATAAAAACATTGCATTTAATCAGAAATGCTCATTTTGGGGAAGAAATGACAGAACTAGAAGTGCATCAACTTGTTGATTGATTTATTGTTTTGCGTGAATTAGTCACATCACACTGTCTACATGTCTTCCAAAAGTTGTACTTGAGCAAGGGGATTATGGTGTTTTTTTAATGATATTGCCACACAAGAGTCCGTTTTGTTCATCATTTTCGGATTAACATTTCTCTCTTCTAATGAAAACGAGCAAAAGTAAAATGAGATATGATCACGTGCGCGCTATAACAGGGAGTTGGCAATAATTGGTGCTCGCTGGTCGCTAGCCAGTAGTGGTAGGGAGCATTAAGATCAGATTTCCAAAAGTTGTACTTGAGCAAGGGGATTATGGTGTTTTTTTAATGATATTGCCACACAAGAGTCCGTTTTGTTCATCATTTTCAGATTAACATTTCTCTCTTCTAATGAAAACGAGCAAAAGTAAAATGAGATATGATCACGTGCGCGCTATAACAGGGAGTTGGCAATAATTGGTGCTCGCTGGTCGCTAGCCAGTAGTGGTAGGGAGCATTAAGATCAGATTTCCAAAAGTTGTACTTGAGCAAGGGGATTATGGTGTTTTTTTAATGATATTGCCACACAAGAGTCCGTTTTGTTCATCATTTTCAGATTAACATTTCTCTCTTCTAATGAAAACGAGCAAAAGTAAAATGAGATATGATCACGTGCGCGCTATAACAGGGAGTTGGCAATAATTGGTGCTCGCTGGTCGCTAGCCAGTAGTGGTAGGGAGCATTAAGATCAGATTTTAATGAGATTGTTTGTACATGTCAAATGCTGATGTAGGATAATCCTAAAGAATGCTTGCGTTACACTTGTGTCTGTTGTAGGTATGGGAGGCTCCGAGGTGCTGCACAAGGTGGATAAAGGCTACCGGATGCCCAAACCCACTGGACCAATCAGCTACACCGATTCCTACTACGATATCATGCTTAAGTGCTGGAACAGAAAACCCGAGGATCGGCCAACGTTCTCATACCTGCATGATTTATTTGATGACTACTTCGTAGCCACGGAACCCGACTACCGAGATGCTGATGACATGTGATGACAGACACCCTGTCACCATGGAAACATAGACTTGGCCAGCAGGAATCTTCCGGCATAATACATGAATGTTGATGAATGCCATCTACGATTTGATTGGTGCATGCAGATATATTTGTAACCAATGGAATTCACTTAATCAGTTGCTGCAGTGCGGCCACATACGATGCAATCACCCATGGCAGACAACGTTAACCACATCTGCCATGTTCGATTTTTTCCCATATCAAATTCATCGTTTTTGAGTTTTTTTTGTTTATTATTCAAATTGTACAGTGTTTAAATTTTATGAAATATTTTTTATCACTTGTATATATTTAAAATCAATTTTATGGACATATATAGATCAGTTTTATATGATATCATACAAAGTATGACATCCGGCTCGGATCCTCCCTTTCAAGTTACCGAGGTACTATTTTTGAATTTTTACTTTGATGTCACCTTAATGGTAGATATATATTTTGGTATGTTCAAAATGTGAACTGTCAACAGATGATAAAATTCAGAGGAATAGATGAAGCACTGATGAGGAAAGAACAATTCAGCCATGAAAAGTAGTGATTGGTACAACAGAAATCACCAAGTGGTTGAAGAAGGGAGGTAAGTCACTACATCGTTGTAGTTATCTCCCTTTGAAGTGAATGTACTGTTGCCCATTCAATGCAGCGATCTTGGTGCAAATGATTGTTTGTGTTTAGAAAGAGTAGAACAAGTGCCTTTCTTGATTATTAATAATAATTCCATCAGTGTTGTCATTTAATTCCGAACTTCATGAGATTGTCTTATTGACATAATGTGTCTTTTGTACCTCACTATGCTCAATGTCTTCTGAACCGGAGCCCCAATTGTCTGGCCTCTCTGACAGCGTGGGAGTAACCAGTGGAGGATGCTTTGGTGATGTTCAGAGTCTTGTATATTGTTTGTCTCTCATATTTGTGTTCTGTCAGTTTTCATTTTCATGGGGATAATTCATTTTTAGCAGAAAGTTTCGTCATTTTTATCTTCCAAATTGTACTTCCACATCAGAGGGAGTTGTTGGAGGGATGAGTTTGGAGATTCAAGTTCATTTCCTTATATTGATAGGTTTTGTCGGATCGAGATACAATTGCTTACAATAAAGACAATGAAAGGAAATTATTACATGTGAACATAGAAGTGTTGTTGATAATTGTATACTGTCATCCTGACAACTTGTAATTTAGGTTGAAAAAATACAACAGGGTTGGAGTTGACTGGCTGTGTGGAGGGTTGTCAATGCTGCTGATGTAATATTCACTTCATCAGCTTAGTCATGTGATGGGTTAATAGCACAGTGGCTAGAGTGTTAACTAAACACACTAAAGGTTCAGGTTTGATTCTTTCAGGTTTTCTTGGTGTCCTCTGCCATATTTGTACACCGTTGCTAAAGGCAGCATAAGACTAACCAAACCCATTCTCAGCTCACTTGTCAGGGATTTCCCATTACCATGGTTACCATCAAGTTGCATATGTTTTTGTAAGGCCTTTTTTGTATTAGTTAGTTTACAAAATATTTAGCCTAAATTTCAATGTTGAGGGTCGAAAATATATGAATAATTTTCAACTTCCAGATTAACACTGCCACTAATCTGTGTAAAACAACAACATGGCAAGATATTGAATTTACTGAAAGATTGATTGTGTTTTTTGTTAGAATAAAGATTTTTGTTCATATTCACCTTTTCTTACAAACAGCAGTGATAAAATCTTGAAGTTTTATCATTTCACCTCTCAGCCAAAATAAAAATGGTTAAAAGTCATTTTACTGTTTTCCTATTTCCAGGTTTTTTGTCAGTTGGTCTCATAAAGCAAATAAAAAAGTATATAAAACCTTAGGACACTACAGGGGAAAAAATCATTCCGAGATATCCCAAAATGTATGTTCATTCCTGAGTGATTTGAAGAGATTTTCGTTTGTTTCTCATTTTTCTGATTTCTATGTTATTCCTTTAATAATCACACTCTTCATCACTTGTGGTTTCGGGAAGCATTTCTGTGTGATTTCTTTCTTCTTTCATTCCAAGGTGAAAGTGATGTCGGGTCTAGATTTCGTCATAAAGCAACATGAGCTACTAATTAACAATAGTTCAGATGATACTGATTTTCTTTCCTTCATCTATGTGCTGCAGGAGTTTTATCACTTTGATGTAAGAGCCAAATTGATTAATTGGTTGCAATTTATTTAAGAATTGTCCTTTTTGCGTTTATGGAGGTATTAACAAAAAAATGATCTGGATACTGTGTAAATCTGCAAAGCCGATTTTTTTCAAAGTGTCCACACCCATGTTTACGTTTGTGACTCCATAAATGCCAACACATATTGAAGTCAATCTTATAGGTAAATATGTCAATGATATTAACTTCACAGACTGAAGACACACAGCTTATTTAAACTGAGACAACAATCCAACAGTGGCATCCTCTAGCGCAGTAATGTGACTCAGGTCCTGCCCATTATTTACAAACTGTTATGATGTAGTTTGAAAACAGCAGCATAAAACAAACGTCAAGCACCTCTTTTTCACAAATTTGCTCAGAGAGACTTATGACTGTAGAACACATGGGAGAGTGATGTATCCATTGACCGACTTCTGTGTAATTTACTGTTCAGGGGGCAGGGTGGCCCAGTCGTCTAAGGCGCCGCGATTCGCCGTGCAGAATTGCGTCCCTTGGGCACGCCAGAAACCTATGATTGTGGGTTTGAATCCCGGTTCGCCCCGATTATGTTTCTAGGTTTGTCGGCACCATACCCGTGCTTGTGAGTTTCACCGAAGTGGTAAACGTCTGAGACCTGCATCACTTCGGGCTTTCCTCCCACATTAAGCTGACACGCCGCGATATAACTGTAAAACTGTTAAAAGCGGCGTTAAACCCAACTCATTCACACTACTGTTTGTTCCTGCCATCATGCACCAAACTTGAACACAGTTACAGCAATAATTTGATGCCATTCTTCCAACAATATGATTGCTAATTGTACCTACTGGTATATTTATCTAATATTTGTCGTTTTTTGAGCAAAATCTTTCCTTGGGTTCATTTCGTCCCTGGGAAATGTGACGGTATGATCACTAGCATCACGTGTTTGTGTATTTTAGCCTGCATCAGACTTCACCTTTCCAATGGTTAGTGACACTTTGTAGATCTCTACACCCCACCAATCTCATTAAAATCAGACCTTAGTTCTCGCTAAACAAAGATCTGAAGGCATCCCATTAAGCTGCCTTCTTATTGGTCATTCCATTGGTCGGTCAGAGTTCGCGCAAGGTCGGTCTGACGTGACCCATAATGGGATGTCCTCAGATTTTTGTTTAGCGGGAGCGAGAACTAAGATCTGATTTTAATGAGATTGTACACCCACATTCCATACTACATCTAGGAGGGCTTCATTATTATTCAAACTAAACTTTCGCATAGCACAGCCTGTTTTTATCTGAAATATATCGTTTTTCTGTGGTTTTGCTTATTGGTCATGATATTTTGTCCAAAATTATCAAGTGCAGGTCACAAGACTGGTATACCTATGGCAAGGGTTTTATAAAGAACAGAGTATAGTGTGTTCCTTTGTGTGTTTTTATATCCCATTTAGACATAATATAAATATGTTTTGTTTTTTCAACATACATATATTATTAGTCTTGCCAAATATATGATTTACTAAAGATAGAAAATCATGCTTGAGAGGTTGAGGTTTTGTGATTTCTGTAAGTGCCTTGAGCATATGACTGGTTTGTTTCAATATCATTAAAATCAGATCTTAGTTCTCACTACCGCTAAACAAAGATCTGAAGACATTCCATTAGGGGTCACGTCAGAACGACCTTTCATCCGATCAATCAAAGCGTCGTTTACAAGATTTTGAAAGTGACGGTCGGAATGTGATTTCTAATCATGCAACCTCGAAAACTTTCTACAGGGTATTCCGAACGATAGTTACGGGTTTAACGACTGAATCCATACAATCTGGACCATCTATTAGCCATTCCAAAATGTTCTTTTGTTCAGGTTTCAAATTTGTAATCGAGAATTTGTCAAAATATGTTTCGAAGCGTAATCGCCAATTTGAAATTAGTGCCGTAAAGCACGAGAGAGCTGCCTTCTGATTGGTCATTCCATTGGTCGGTCAAAGTTCGCACAAGGTCGTTCTGACGTGACCTGTAATGGGATGTCCTCAGATCTTTGTTGAGCGGTAGTGAGAACTGAGGTCTGATTTTAATGAGATTGGGTTTGTTTCAGTTTGTGTTTTACAGAAAACAATGCATTAACCTGTTGTATGTCTGTTCTTGTCAGTATCTCAACTATGTGCTATGTGCAATAACAACACATCAATTAATGACTCAGTATGATATCCACAGAGTGCCTTTCTTCTTCTTGGGGGTTGTGTCTAAAGTTCATGTGTTCTTTCTTTTGAAGACAAAGTTTGGAATTAGAGAACTCTCAGTGACAGGCTTCTATGTATGGGTGGACAGACTGTACACGTACACATGACAGGCGATTTGCTGTTCAGAGTTGCGTCCCTTGGGCACGCCAGGAACCTATGATTGTGGGTTTGTATCCTGGTTCGCCCCGATTATGTTTCTAGGTTTGTCATCCCCGTGCTCGTGGGTCTGAGACGTGCATCTCTTCGGGCTTTCCTCCCACATTAAGCAGACAAGCCGTGATATAACTTGAATACTGTTAAAAGCGGCGTTAAACCCAACACACTCACTCACGCACTTGACTGGCTCGAATATTGATACCGTATATCGCTGTCTCTATATGTTTGGTGTCCTCTGCTGTGATAATTTTTGAACATAACTTAGTGGTGCAAACCTTACCAGACCATGTCTGTGTGATGTGGTAGACAGAGGAATTTTTTTTTTTTTTAAAATTCCAAAACGTGTACAATTTTACAAATTTGACTTGAATGGGTAGGTCATTGTCCAGGGTTGTACAGAACAAGAAAGTTCCAAAATTATGTGCGAGCTTTTGACACAGCCCCTTAGTTGAGGATTATAACTTGAATTGCATGTGATGAAATCACAGTTGCACAGACAAAGAAATATGATATTTCCCTTCGACTTATTATGTTATTATTATTATGTATGTTGAAATCAATAAGGTAAGAAAAATGATTTGTTTGATCAGTGTGAAACAGCTAGTTAAACCGTAGAATGGCAATACCTTTTCTTAATTAACTCTTTCATATTATTTATTCATTATAATTATATTCACAAAAGTTGAAAGTTTTGATTGAAAAGGATACTGGACAATGACATAGAGGGTGTCCCTGTGTGCTTCTGTTTGTTCTGTCAACATGCCCGTCCTTGCTTTTGTCTATAACCCTTACTTAATCAGTATTTGTCAACTTCTTTAATAGTCTGAATGTTTTGATGGTTTTAATAATATATACATGTATCTTTATGATTCAAAGATTCTGTTATTTCAAGGGATCTATTTGTTTAGTCAAACAGCCTTATGGTATAACATTAATTGCATATACCAACATAGTACACTTGTTCCGAGTTTATTTTTACTTGCTTGATCAGTGTCCATTTTATTTCAATTATGTGCTGTGACAACAGGATCATAACTTTCCGCCATTAGTCAGGAAGCGTATTGTCAGAAAACGTACAACTTTATGGATAACAACTTATGGCATATAGTGCATTTCGATGTAGATTCTTAAACTGTTATCAAACAATTAGGAAGTGTTTTGGCCAGCATACATTGGATGCCATGGGTATCTTAAGGGTTAAGATGGATCAAGTGTAAGTCTTGTTTTACACTTCCAGTGCCAGTAGTACTCTAACACCCCTTGTATTACCAGGTTATTAGCCAATAGGCCACTGGTTGACTGTTCCCATTTATCTTTAAAGGCTCTTCATTCACAGAATAGAAAAAAAATATAAAGTTTGTATTTGACTTTGCATACTTTTGACAAAATTGAAATCGTATAACAAGAAAAACAACATGGGGTCTGGCATGCCCACATTTCGACTGGCTCTAAATACCTTCAGGTCATATTGTGATTGAGAAAGAGTTCATTGTGATCGTACTGCGTGATTCAACATAAAAATGTGCGAATATAATTTTCAAAACTCTTGACAATCAGAGACATTTCCTTATCTGATTAGATGTGTATATTTCGCCATTCAAATATATGTGTTTTAGTACTTATATGGACTAAATATTCCTTGAAATTCTGTTTTAGACTATTTTATGCAAGGTTTTAGTAAGTATTTTGTGGACAGTATACTTTGTGTGAAGCAGGAGCCTTGTAATGGATATTTTAGGTTGTTTATACTGTGTTTCGCTGCGGGGTTATACTTCCATTACTAGCATATGATCTTTTAAACTGTCATTCATGCTTTGTAAATAAACTTGAGAAAGATTCAACCAGTTGTTTGTCTATATTGCTAGTCGATGTCAGACAGACATGAGAGGTCGGTAAGTGTGTGCGGGTGTGGTTGGGTCGATTAGGGGATTAATCCAGTGGGGAAACAGCCTCAGTTCCCCGCCCGTGATTCGCTGTGCAGAGTTGCGTCCCTTGGGCACTCCAGACACTTGTGATTGTGGGTTCGAATCCCTGTTCGCCCCAATTATGTTTCTTGGCTTGTCAGCACCATACCCTTGCTCGTGGGTTTCACCGAAGTGTTAATCGTCTGAGACCTGCATCACTTCGGGCTTTCCTCCCACATTTATATAACTGCCATGATATAACTGGAATACTGTTAAAAGCTGTGTAAAACCCAACTCACTCAGTCCTAAATATGGAAACATCGAAAGCCAAATCAGCTACATTCTTCGGCCAGCTTCATCAGCTTCCCTCTGTGCATGTCAGAAAAGCAGGGTAGCCTCGCAGTTAAGGTGTTAACTTATGTTATGGTTGTGTGTTGTTTAACACCGTGGTCGGCAATATTCCAGCTAGGGTATATGACGGCAGCATGTAAATAATTGAGTCTGGACCAGGCAATCTAGGGAACGATATTGTGAACAACGATCCACGCCGTCGGGTACGATAACACGCAATTAACCAAGTCACCGAGCCTCTTATGATCAGGACCGCCTCCGTGGTCTAGTGGTAGAGCGTCCGCACGGAGAGCGGAAGATCCTGGGTTCGATCCCCGGCCGCGTCATACCAAAAGACGTTAAAAGATGGAAGTTGTTACCCTGTCTGGCACTCGGCATTAAGGGGCTAAAGCAAAGAATGGTCGGTTCGGAGTCAGTATACCGTGTCTGAGTTCTCATGTTAAACTGCGCCATGGTATCTCAGTGAGCTAGCACTATAAATCGGCTAAGTTCGGATTAGTACAAGCAGCCACACATACACGTGCATGCACGTGGCTATATACAAATGTAGTTTTTAGGCATTGATGCAACACGTGTTTAATGCATTTACTTAAAGAACGAGTTGTACTTTCAGCGAGCAAACCAGGAAATCAAGATCGCATCAGCGGGTAAATACATATCCATCTTATAACGATAAGAGTCGACCAGTGTGGTGTTACATTAT